TATAGTGTATTGGTTTTCAAAAACAATTCTTTTTAGCAAGTACAACTATTATCTTCAAACAAGTTATAAAATAGATAAAAGCAGAAGCGCTCTGACTGAAGATGAATGGGATGCAGAGCCCACCATATTACAGCCTTACCTTTTCCCTGAGGTAGCTTCTTGAAACTGGGGCTTCCAAGATGATAGCCTGGAAACCTTTGTTATACTGGAAAACACATGGGGTTTTGAGTCCCTGTAACTGGGTTCAAATCTCAGTTCACTCCCTTCAACAGTGGGATGGTGAGTTACTTAATCTCTTTGAGATTCAGTTACACGTGTGTGAGGGGTTAAAGATGGTAACTAACATTACTGTTGATGATTGTTATGTGGATAGGATTCTCAATAAATATCAGTCCACTTCTGCTTTTGTTTAAAATTAAACGTAAAACAATTTGTTTTTAAAAATGGGCATAATAGTTATTTCCAGATGCAGACCTTCCAAAATTCAGATGTGGATATTTCCAGTTTGTCTCAGGTGGTTTTATCTCCCTCCGGTTATTAGTATCAAGTTTCTTCTTGTCCCAGGGGTTCTAACTATGGCTTACTATCCTTATTATATCTAGTTAACTCTAGATAGACACACACACAAATCAGTAGTTCATTACAAAAATCCATAATACACCGTGAATGTTCTATCACTCTTATGTTTTTCTTTTCTAGACAAAGGAAACAAAAATGAGTGAACTTTTGATCTTAAATTTCAAATAGAACTGTTAAAATTGTTTCTTCACACTGTCTTTTATTAGGAAGGTTATTGCTATTTTTACTGTGGAAGCCATTCCTTTAAATCAAATTTGGTTCTACTTCCTTCAGAACTTATCAGCAAATGTAACTTTTTAGTTTCCTCAGAGAAAGACTTAAACCTACTTTTTTCTGATACAGAACTTGTTGGCTTATTTTAATAATCTCAGCCTTCAATCTTAAGACAATGGAAATGGATAGAAAGGCATTTTTCAAGTTAAAAAGGAAAATCGATATCTAGGTTATTTTTCAGCAAATGCATTCAATACTGATGATTAATTCTACCATATCAGGAGCAATATTTACTGATCTTTCTTGACCTAGCATGACATGTGCCGTATCTTATATCTCTAAAACTCTCTAGTTCCGTGGTGTGATGATCAAATGTGAGGCAGACTGTCTGGGTCAGAGTACTAGCTCCATTACTTACCTTGGGCAAATTAGTTAGCAGGTCTTGTTATTTCTTCATCCATGTTTTGGGAATAATCATAGTTACCTACCTCAGAGGGTTGCTACAAGGACTGAGTTAAAAATGTTAAAAACTTAGATTATTGCCTGGCACATACTAAGCACTCAATCATTATTACCATGACTTATATTTATGCAATGGTGTCCATCCTTATTTCTCAAAACTCACCATATTAGCCCCTATTCTATGCCAAGGACAGTGATAGCTACCTCAGTTACTAAGATAAATCACCCATCATCCCTATCCCCACAAGCTTACAGCAAAGCAGAAAGGAAAAGACTTGGTGCTACAACACAGAGATTGTTAACTTGAATCAGATTCAGGGAGACCATGAACTAAGGTGAGAAAAAAATTCCATCTTTATTTACCCTAACCTCTAACTGAAATATAGCATTTCCTTAAACTACTAATACAGTGATAAGTCATAGAAGTGTTAGCAGTGCCTGTGGCTTTGTTTGCAAAAGAAATTACAGATATTTCCATATCATCTTAGTTCTTGGAGTTATCTCAAAATATTATTTGCCCTCATCTCTGCTTTGAATCAGTGATAGCTTTCAAACTGACCTGCTGCTTAGATCTTATCTAGTATATTAAAAAAAACCCACCTATATCACTATCTCACAACTATATATTTTATTATTTTGGTAATATTATAATTGGTTTCCTTTATAATACTGTTTTATATTTGTCTATTTTTAAAAGAAGGGGTCCATAGGCTTCATCAGATTGCCTAAGGGGTCCATGACACAAGAAAGGTTAAAAATCAAAGCACAGAAGTCTGTGTAAGGCTAATGGGGGCACTAGTGAAAGAGTGAACAATAGGGAGGAGTACAAAATGATTTCTTTGATAAGAGAAGCTAGGTGGCTCTCATTTTTAAAAACAAACTTAACATCAATTTGAGCCACTAAGGATAACTTTCTTCTGATTGCAAACATGCATGGAATTGGGGGTTGAAAACCTGGATTCAGGGCACAGCTCTGTCACTAAATGAGCAAGTTACTTCTCTGAATCTATTTTCTTATCTATAAATGAAGATAATGCCAGCTTCATAGGATAATTATGAAAAAGTGGAATGATTATATATAAAAGCATACTGATAACTGTGAAGGTTAAAACGATTGTTACTCTTCTTTCCTTGCACACATATCTAGTCCTGAGCTAGGAAATATATAAGAGATGGACAATGGCCTTTGCTTTTTAGGAGTTTACAGTTCAATTCCAGATATAGCAAGAAGGCAAAAACAAACAAAACCCTAAAAAGCAACTAAAATTCAGTGTGAGGTAGGGGACTAAATATATACATGTCATTGACCCATGAACTGGCATCACAAGTCTCAAAAACAGTTGCCACCTCAAACTTGGAAATTACAACACAAAATAAATAAGCTGGCCACAGAAGCAACCAACCAACTGTGAGATGATCTGTAAATGTTATACCTGTAGCAAAAAAAGAATCTGGTTTAAAAAATTGTAGTGCAACCAAGATAACCCCTTAATTAATTCTAACCTGTCCATGGTAATAAGAACTTTTTCATGTCTAAATACATTCTAGACAAACACCACAAAAAGTGAGAATTTATTACTATGCTTCTCTCATAGTGTGGTTGGCTTTGATTGTCAAGAAGACTACTGGTTAACTAGTATACATTAAAACCATGCCCATGCCGAAGGTGAGAATGCCCCCATGGCATTCCTAAGGAAATACCCTTTAAGAACATCCCGACTCCCATAGCTCCATTTCTTTATTCATCCATCAAAGATTTATAACCTGTAACTTGATATTTTTGACTGTATCCACCCCTGACAGTTCCCCCACAAAAAAGGGAAAATCCACTATAAATGATAAGATGAATCATTTTGCCATTTATATTTACTGTTAACTAATACATTCTGATTCTGGTTCATAATTTGATATTTTGTGATTTGCTTATTGTGATTCTGCAAACCCTGACTGAATTGGTAAAACCTCAATTTCTAATCCTGTAAAGCTGAAGGCGAGCAGTTTACTGAGATCTAAAACCCAACAAGCCTCTATGGAGTGGCATTTAAAAGAGAAGGCTTATTTCAGAAAAAAAAAACTTGGTTGATGGGGGATAATTTTTAAAAAATACAGTATAGTATAACAAACGAGAACATTCTGAACTTTTTGATTGATTAAAGATACAGGCTGTACTTAAACATCAGTAAATACCAGGTATACCTAATTTCAGATGTTTCTGAAATCCCGTATTTTATATTAAACGCATTATTTGTAGGGCTCACTAACTTAAGTTGCTTAAATTCTTTAGTGCTTTCCATGTGATCAGTACTTTAGATATTTAGTCATCCCAAACATTCTTGTTTTGTGAACAGTGTTTTGCAGTTAACTTTATACAAAGGACCCAGAGCAGACATTTGAAAAGTGTTATTGGAAGTATGAAATGGTTCTGCGCTTACAAACTGGGATTTTTTAAAGATAATGTTTCATTTTAATGTGATGTAACATCACAGGATTGGAATTGAAAGAACATCCTTAGAGATTATTTTAGACGTCTAACCTTTTGAGTATTAGCTCAACTCCAAACCAGTCTATAACCAGAAGACTGACTCAGGCCTATGCATCTATCTCTTTTAAGCAAGACCGTCAATTCCCGATTCCCTCTCAAATTTTTTGGGCATAAAATGAATAGGTTCTCAAGAAGTGTGCTCGCACTTTTTAAAGAAATCATTCAGTTTATTCCTTTAACCACTCCTATGGTGGGGTGGAGAAGGGGGCGGTGGGGAATCATAGATCTTGGCGTTGCTTCTAACATTTTGAGAGGCCACGTCTCCCAGTAACGATCCTGACGCCTCACAGCACCTACAGAAAATATTTTCTTCATTTAGTAGGATATTCCTGTGACATACAAATCATTCTCTTTGGTAGAGGCCGGTCTTGTCTGAGAGCGGCAGCCCCAACTCCTCGACTGCCCCCAGTCCTCTTAAGGGCTTTGCTGGGTGGGATTCGGCCTGGGTAGCTTGGGACACGTGGTGACTGGGGAGCAGAGTATGCGATCCCCGCTCCGGGAGTCCCGCTAACGGGAAGCGACCGGATCAGCCCCCGGCAGGCCCCTTCCTGTGAAGTTAGAGACTCGATGATAGGTAATGGATCTTAGTTCGTTTAATAGGCCCCTTGCCCCCAGATCCTCAGAGGCCCGCCTCTCTTCAGGTGTCCCGTACCCCTCTGGGGGTGGTGACTGACGACGCTCAGACGAGAAACTGCTCCCTAAGCCGCTTTCTGGGTCCCTCTCTCCCCACAATGCACTGGGGCCAGCAGGAAGGCCGCTCCGACCCCTAATTTTCCCGCGAATTCAGTTCAAAGAGGCAGCCGGGCCCGCGATCGGCAGCGCGCACGGGCCAACCAAGCCGCGCCTCCGCGAGAAGCGCCTCCGCGTGACTGACGGGAGAATCCGCGGGCCAACGGGCTGGGCGGCCGGGCGGCGCGCGCTCCCGCCGGCCAATCAGAGCACCAGGCGGGGGAAGTGGGCGGAGCGAAGCCAGGCTAGGGTGAGCGGCCTCCTGAGCGGAGCGGGTCTCTCTGGAGGAGACACTTTTTTTTTTCCTCCCTCCTTCCCTCCTCTCCTCCTCCCTTCCCTTCCCCTCTCCTCCCCTCTCTCCTCCTTCCCCCCTCGGTCCGCCGGAGCCTGCTTGGGCGAGCGGTTGGTATTGCAGGCGCTTACTCTCCGGGGCCGCCCGGCGGGTAGCTGGCTGGGGGAGGAGGCAGGAACCGCGATGGCGCCTCAGAAGCACGGCGGTGGGGGAGGGGGCGGCTCGGGGCCCAGCGCGGGGTCCGGGGGAGGCGGCTTCGGGGGTTCGGCGGCGGTGGCNNGGCGGCGGCGGCGGCGGCGGCGGCGGCGGCGGCAGCGGCGTCGGGCGGCAAATCCGGCGGCGGGGGCTGTGGAGGCGGCGGCAGTTACTCGGCCTCCTCCTCCTCCTCCGCGGCGGCGGCGGCGGCGGCGGCGGCGGGGGCCGCCGTGTTACCGGTGAAGAAGCCGAAAATGGAGCACGTCCAGGCTGACCACGAGCTTTTCCTCCAGGCCTTTGAGAGTGAGTATCTGAGGCTTTGAGGGCAGGAATGCCACTCTTCCAGCCTTAGGGGACACTCGTGGTAGGGCCCCCTTCCTCACCGGGAGTCGATTTGGTTTGGGAGTGGAGGGAGAAATTGAAGGGACTGGTCTCTCTTCAGGGATTACGACTCAAGGGGCCCGAAGTCTAGGGTCTTTGAAGGAGACGGAGTAGGGGGTCTGGATGAGGGGTTTGACTCTCCTGAAGATTTGCACAAGTGGTTAAGGCTGTGGAGCCCCACATTCAGAGCAAGCCTCTTTTACGTGAGATTGCAGTTGAACTGAGGATGCAGTCAGATCCCAAGACTAGTTCTTGCTTTCTTTTATGCCTTCAGTGCTACAGAAGTACAAGGGTTTCGGTTTTAGGTTTTGAGGAGCAAAATTGAGCCTGGGAAGAGATGAGTACAGTAAAATCGACCAAATTGTCATTAGCCTGAAATGCCTTCGCACTAACTTGGTGCTGCATGTTAACATGGCACCTTTTGATACTTGAAGCCTTTCAAATCTATCCACCCATTTCATGGATACATAAACCGAGACAGGTGGTGTTTAAGCATCTTCTCTTGATAACAATCTCGGGGTTCTGCCTTGTTGTACTTAATTTGATTCCAGGATGTTTTCGTATGTCAATTTCTGTTTTTAAGGTCTATTTTGAGAGCAGAACTACGACTTAATTTGGAAAGGTGGGGCAAGGTTTCTGGAAACAAACAATAGAATTTATAAAAAACATTATGACTATAAATAATCTCAACGCTTCTTTAATAAATATTATGTCCTGATTCTCTTTTTGCCTTGAATGGATGTTACAGTTCAGATCTTTAATAGCTAAATATCTTACAGAAACTTAAATAAACTCAGCTTTATGGCTGAATGCCTTTATTTACAATTTTACCATGGCATATGTTAAGGGCATGGTATCAGCTGTGCTTGGAAAGACGTATTACATTGTTTAATGCCCTTTCATTCTCTCTGATTAGTGCTTCATGAAATTCTAATTGGAATTTAATACAAGGAATTTCAGTTTTTATTGGAACGGATATTAAACCTGCTTCAGAGATTCACATTACTCTTAGTATACTTTCAAAAATCTGGAGAGGCTTTAAATTGGAAATAGGGTGGAGAACTGAAGCTCAGTGATGACGATAAACATGAATATCTCATCTCTTTTTGGTTTATTTGAAATTAAAACTAAACTGATTAAGTAGAAATTTTAAAAATTCTATGTTACGAAGACAAATCCAGAAAATTTCAGCTGTTTTGCTTCGGATGAGTCTACCTTGGAGAGGTGAACTGTCATTAAAGAGCTAGATTTGGTCACAAAACAACTTGATTCTCCTCTAATATTGATCATAGCTTCTAAGAAGTCTAAATGCTTTGATGTGTTTACTACTATAATTAGCCATATTTAGTTCATTTTGATACTGCTGTATTTAGGTCATTAAGTGGTACTATAGTATTTGTATATAAAATATCTATAACCTAAGTCCTTTTAAACAAATTAAATTTGAACTAAATTTAGTATTAAAAAGACTTTGGGAGTCTGTCATTACTTTAAAAATACTTGTTAAGGTAGTATTTACATATTGAGCTCTTTACATTGAGCAAAGTAGATAAAAACTTATGCTATAACTAGAAATAATCATTGAGAATTTTAGCTATAATTTTGTCTCAAATTTCAGTGTTGACTGATTTCATCATATCTGTATTAGGACATCTAGGAAATGGTTTTATTCTGTTTGGGCTGACAAAGGCCAATTAAAAAGTGAATATTCCACTTGGTGTTTGTCATCAATATTTCTTTTGTGGAACCCAGCTACCTCATTTTAGCTAATTGTTGGAAGGAACTGGGTTATATAAATAGTTTAAATAAGCTAAATGAGTATAACTATTCTTCAGTTCTACATACAAACTAGCTTGAAAAGTAGCTGTCTTAGAATTGCATGGCTTAAGAAGATTGTAGAGAACTTAAATTTAAAATAAACATAGATAGGAGTATTGTGAATGTATGCCATAGATTGCATGTCTTGATCTTACTGTTCATACTGATTTCTTGATGTAGCTATTCAGTACATTATTTCCCTAACAAGCAATTTATATTGATGATTACACTGGGTTGGTGTTTTTTAGACAACTTAGTAAGTAAATTTAGATAATGTTTGGATTTTGTTTCCTATACCTAGAACCAACCCAGATCTATAGATTTCTTCGAACTCGAAATCTTATAGCAGTAAGTAATCAACAAAATTCATCAGTTTTTTTCTTAGAATTTCACCTATTTAATTTTAACATTTTTAAAAACTTTTTTTTATAGCCAATATTTTTGCACAGAACTCTTACTTACATGTCTCATCGAAACTCCAGAACAAACATCAAAAGGTACATTTTACGAATCTTATTTCAAGTTGAACAAACCATGTTAAAGTTTTGTTTTAAAGTACTATTTTCAACTAAAGATTGATATGAAAATTGAGGTGAAAGAGTGGTTGAATTGGTTGTAAAGTGATTTTTAATGGAATCGTTTTTGTAAATCTGAGGTTATTACCAGTTTTTTCCCTAATAGAAATGTTTTAGTAATGAAGTAGAAGACGTGATTTTACTGACTAATGTTTTTATTCTGTGCTACTAGTAGGTATTTTCCAGTGTGGTAGAAGTTGGAGATTTAAATATTTACTAAAGGGCTCAGGGAAACAAACTATCTTTGATACATAAATTTAACAGTTAACTTTTGAATATTTCTTTTGTGTTCTAATAATAATTTGCTTCTATAATGATAGGCTCAGAAAATCTCATTTAATATCTTTTGTAGTGGTTTTACTAATGGGAAATAATTTTGAGGTCAATAGGATGAATGTCCTTCAAAATAAAAAGTCTTAATGATCTAGTCTTAAAGTAGAGTCTGGAGGTCACACAGGTTTATTTTTGCCTTGTATCATTTGGTACTTAACAGTGTGTAAATACGGAATGCTAGTTTCTTGTCCTATGTGTAAGGTTATTTATTGAGCATATCAAGTGAACAACTTTAAAGGAGAGCTTCTGTTAAGCATTTTGGTGTTACAGTCTTAGTAAAACCATTAAGTTGTCTCTACAGACTTTGAAGCAAAACTCCTTTGGAGACTCCTACTGGTTATGAGGAGTAAGCATCACGTTTTCTAAAGCCTGACATAGTTAACTTTGGAGGTACAGTTGACCCTTGAACAACACAGGTTTGAACCGTGCAGGTCCACTACACAAAATTTCTTTTTTCAGTAAATACGTTGGAAAATTTCTGGAGATGTGTGACATCTTGAAAAAACTTTTTTCTCTAGTTTAGTGGTAAGAATATAGTATATAACATAAAAAATACATGTTAATAAGCTGTTTATATTACTAGTAAGGTGTCCAGTTAACAGTAGGATATTAGTAGTTAATTGGGGAGTCTAAAGTTAAACATGGATTTTTCAAATGTGCAGGGGGTTGGCATCCCTAACCCCCACACTGCTTAAGGGTCAACTGTATAGTTAGGTGTATTTTGAAGGATTGAAGTGCTAAAACTATTTGTCTTCTGATAATCTTTCTGAATCTAGAGAGAGTGAGCATTGTGTTTAATAGGTGAAACTTGCCAAGTGCCCAAATAAGTAGGAAGAAGATTATAGATTAGGCAACAGAATTAAATCTGTCAGCTTTATGTGTCTACTCCATTATTTCATCTATGTATGTCAGGGTTGAGCAAATTTTTTCTGTAAAGGACCAGATAGTAAGTATTTTAGGCTTTATTGTCTAGGAGGTAGAACTGAGGAAATTAGGTAGGATTTAGGTACAAAATTTATACAAAGACAGAAAACAAATGTCCACAAATTTTTTCTTGATGAATCTCAAAATATAATAATTGAGTACAGTGTTCATAATGCAGGCTTACTAGCAAGAAGCATAGAATTCTTTCATTTTTATGGGGGGTACAGGGGTGGCAGATAACATTTAGCTTTATTGGGATTTAGAGTTAGTGTTCTGTATCATCAAATCAGTGGCACATGTTTATCTGTAAAACAAACAAACCATTTTTAGCTTGTGGGCTATGCAAAAACAGACAACTGGCCTGATGTGACCCATGGTCAATAGTTTGCTGACCCTGATTTATTTTATAAAAAAAGAAGAATTTGATTAAGTAGTAGTTAATTTTTCCTTTAGTAATTTTAATATGGAAGATGAGTCTAGGACATTGATTTTAATTTAAGTGATTTAAAAAAAATAAATTTGAGTCTATCCATATTTGGATTAAAAAATACATTTAAAATCCAAGTTCATTATTTTCCTATCGTGTTTATTAGACTATTTAACTGTTCCTGTTGTTTACTAATGGGTAGAGGCAATTTTAGAAGTTCGATAGTAGAAACTAATTTTCTTAATTTATTGCCATTTAGGTAAGAAATTGCCTTTGGGGGAATTTTGAAGCAGTCTGCCAGCCAAGAAACACATAAATCCCACATAGTTTATTTCCATACAAAATTCATTAGGAATCACTTAATTCTTTTGTTACATGTCTCACCCTATCTAAGACATTAAGATTAATTTTTAACAAATTTTACCACAATTTATATCTTAATGCTGTCCTTTTCAAAGTAGTTCGTGACTTTGGAAGGTGGTGAATTTAGTCCAGTGATTGTAGTCTTTGTTCAAAATGTTTTTGGGACACCTTTCACCAAATTGCTTTTAGCACTATCCCCCTGCTTATTTAAAGTGTTTCTGGAACTCATTTTTTCACTATTACAACAACATAATATCCATTGTTGGAATAAACATATCACTTCCTTTGAAATTCATCACTCAACTGTAATGTTCTGGTAGATTTGCTAAACTTATCTTGTACTCCAGTTTCACTTCATAGAGGTATTCAAATTCTGTAGGCTAACACTGCACTGACACAGTGGAAATAATGGTGAGAAGGGCATCTTTTATTGACTCCATTTTATGAGGTTGCATGTAAGCTGTTTCCTGGATCCTCCCAAAATTTCCTGAAATTTCTTGAATTTTAAAAATACCCTCCTTTTTGATGATATTTTGATAACTGTTTCCCTTGTTAAATCTGAACAATGTAGCAGTACCTTTCTAAAGAACAGAAATGCTTGGTGTTGGGGGGTGGGACTGCTCTTGTATAGTTGCTTATGCGGTTTGTTTTTCCTAAGGAAGGCTGGGTTGCCTTTATGATCTTACCTATTTCAAGTAGTTAATATTCAATTCTCCTATGCGCTTCTCCTATGCCACAACTCCATGTTGGAAGAGGTGAACCTTGTGACTTACAGTCTTAACTTTTCTTCCTACAGATAGGATTTCTTCTTAATCATTACATAAAGAGAAACATTATTCTTAAAAGTTTCCAGTAACTTTACAAACCTCCTCAGTAATACATTTCAGTATTTATACTGAAAAGTTCTTTGTAATTTGCATAAAAGAATGCTACATTTTTCTTCTTTATTCTCTTATTTGTGGAGATTGAAAATGTGTTGCCATCCTTCATAAAGCACTTCTTACTATGCTCTATTGGATGAAACTTAAATATTGAAATTTTCAGTAACTCTAAAGGTAAAGAGAGAAGCTTTTTTAAAAAGATCTTTTGTTAATGAAGGCTATTTATCACCTGAGATGTAGATTGTATCAATCCTGCTCTTCCTGTCAGAATTTTAACTGCAATATATTTACACTGGCATTTCTCACTGATAATTTTCATTACAGTAGTTGAATACAAAGCTGTTTTTGAGGAATTAGCATATTAGTAACTTCCATTTGAACTCGAGCTTTACAAAGTAATGTGGAATATATTAAGCTTTTCAAGTCCTAAATTTGAAGAGAATATATGAATATAAAGAGAAATACTTGTTTCCAACTAACATGTGGGTCTAGATTTTTAGCCTCCATTTCTAGGACGTATATAGTAGACCATCTTAAGAACAGTGGTGAGGCTTGTTTAGAATTCATTCATTCTTGAATTGCTTGGTGGGAGTTACCCTTAATTTAAGTTTCTATCTTGTGAAAAAATTAACTTTTTATTTTTTCAACTTGTCAAGTTAAAAGCTTATAATTTTATGATTTGAGGATATATCCTTTGAACTTCAGAATTTTTTCATGATGATGACAACCATCTCTTTAATATGACCTGTTATTTAACTTTAGCCATTGCTAATCTTTGAGGCTATGTTTTATTAATATAGAATATCCATTTCTATGGGATAGCACTAACATTTTTTTGTCAGGTACTTAACAAAAGTGTGAATGTCTCAAAATACACCTAATTTGCATTTCTTTGGCTCAGTCCAACAGATGCTTTAATACCTACCAAATATAAGGTACTGTGCCAAGTACTATGTGGCTTTCCTTGGAGAAAAGAAATGTCTGCCCTTCAGGAGCTTATAATATAGTAGGAGAAATAAAGTATTTATGCAAGCTTCACATTTAGGAGATTCAGTGTCAAAGTAGATATAAACCAAATGCTGTAGGTAAGGAGGAATCACTCTGGTATGCAAATAATTACAAAAGGTTTCATGGAAAAGTTAGCATTTGAGATGAGACTTGAAGGCTTATCTGCTGTATTATAACATACACTGTCTCAATAGTATTCATTGTTATGACTGACCGCCCATAATTTATCCTACTAAAAATAATCAAAATCAGATTTCTAACTTGTCTATTATAGTGACAATAAAGTATAATCTGTTTGTTTTTCCCAGTTGAGAAGTGATTATTTTGTTTATCTGTTTCTTCCAGGAAAACATTTAAAGTTGATGATATGTTATCAAAAGTAGAGAAAATGAAAGGAGAGCAAGAATCTCATAGGTAAGATAACCTATCAGTTTATGTTAAGTGACATACATACTTGAGGAAAGAGGAAAAATTACAGTGGTCATTTCTCTAGTGATCATCTCAATATTGTAAGAAGTTAGAAGGAACCTTAGAGATCAATTGGTCCAAACTCATACACAAATCAGGAGTTAGTTCGTGTGTTACATCTGTGGCAGAGAATCTTTAAGCCTCGTCTTGTATACCTGCAATTCTGGGAACTCACTGTTTTCTAATAAGGCAGTTGTGTTCATTATTGTTTATCTCTGTTACCAATTTCTTGAATTTTGAATCAAAGTTTCTGTAACATCAGCAGTTGGTATTAATCCTCCTACCTCATCTAAGGAGGGAAGGAAACTTGTATTTATGGTATACTTACTATATGCTAGATCCTGTGCCAGGTGCTTTATATCACATCTTTTCTAAATAATTGTCTTCAAATCTGAGAGAAGTTCTCTTTTTTTCCATCTTGTCCTGCCCCTTATTTACAATTTTCAGGCAAAATATCCCTATCCTTGTTTTATGTTTGAAAGATGTTTACGTATGATAGTTTTAGAAACTTAACCCTTTGGGCAGTATCTACTTACTCTGTATTTTCAAATATGATACCCAGAACTAAACCCTAACTGTTCTGATTAGCCTAATATCTGCCTAGGTTAAATAGTATACTTCCATTCCTAGAAAGCAGGCTTCGATTTATTCTTTTGTATATAAATTGAAGAAAGTTGAATACTATTCTAAAGAAAAACAGTAAGTTGAGCTACTTTTAGGGACTAATTCCATTGACTACTTTTAAGAAGAATATAAAAATCAACTAAATATTTTTTAATGAAGTTGTAATAATTATTACAATGGATTTTTCTTTTTCTCTTAGAGTTTTAAATCATAGGTTACCAATTTAGATGAGATATGTCTGACTTAATGATACCTCATTTATGGTTTCTGATTTTAGTGACTGCTATGTTATTTTTGCAGTTGTTTGTATTTAAGTTTGGCTTTTTAATTAGATTATTTTGTTATTTGAATTGTAGAATCAAGTTTTTTATTTTGTATCTTGCAATTTTATAGGACTGAATGTAATTGATATTCCATATCTAGGCAATCCTGATTTGTAATAAAGCTTTGACAGTCTAGTCTAGAAGCTGAGATCCCAAGTCTTTACCTAATGTATTGCTGCCCAGGGAGTACCTTATAGTATAAAATTGAGAATATTCCCAGGGCATGTACACTTTGTTCTTTGCTTAAATTTCTTTTCCACGTCCTTATCTGGTTACCTACCGTGGAGAGAGCTCTTGGGACTCCCCCCTACCCCCAGGGCCTTTTATACTAAAATATAAGCTGTAGTCAGAGCTGAATCTGACTCCTCCCTACTTCTCTCCTGAACATCTTAGTAGCTTGCCCTCTAGGTCTTTCAGGGTTCATGTAAAAAGGAAGAATGTGAACCAAGACAAAAATTTGACCCTTTTTTTCATCTTCCCCATCAAAGTTCTACCTTCATCACTGCTAAACCCTCCTACTGTCTCTGGGCTTTGATAAATACTACAGAGATTCCTTTAGAATATGTGTTGTGATGGAGATACGATTATACTGGTCCATTCTCTCTGAATAATCACTTACCCAATAATTTTGTTCCTTTGACCCGGTGGGTTCAACAGCTAGTCCAGGTCTGTAACAGGGGTGTTGGTAACCAACTCAGAGAAATACCAGAGGGTTGTATAGAATTTCTGCTTGTAATTTTGTAAAACAACTTTTTTGACCTTCAGGATACAGCTAGAATCAGTTGAGTTGGTCATTTCGACCATAGTTTTTTTTTTAGACCTAACTGTGTTGGAGCTGACCATGCTTAATACCCAATAAAGCACTTTAGGCCCAGAAGGTGCTGAGTTACTATGCTAAGTGCTTCAAACCCTTCCCACCCCTCCCCACAAGATCTTTATGAATGTCTTAGTGTTGCTCCCAGAATCCCTAAAATGAATTAGGAAATTGTTTCATTTTAAGTTTGCCCCCAAGGCCTTATTAAATTGCTTCACTGTATTTCTCATCTCAAATTAGGCATAATCCTGTTAATGTATTATACCTTTCACATAGGATTGTAAGAAGTTCCCCATATACTGGTAATGCCAGTACTATAAAACTGCTTGTAAAATCTGTGGTCAGATTCTCTTCCGAGAGCACAAAATAAATCTTTGTTGTTCCATGATATTAATTTGTAGAAGTTAAAATCTTGAATTGTGTACAAAAAAGTATCCCTCTTCCATCTATCTTTTTATTCTGTACCATCTCAGACATAAACATCTTACTCAGTTTAATTGGATCCTGGATCTGTTCAACAACTGTTGTCTGAAGTGTTCCTCTGGAACTCATGTTCTTTTAGCACTTCCAAAGTTGTACTATCTCCACTTCCAAACCCAGTGTATTTCATTCTTCAAGTTCAAGGAGAATATGAAGATACACAAAAATACTGTAGTTATTATAGCCCAAAAGTTAGAACAATCAAATACCTGACCTATTTGTGACATTTGTAGTGACTTACAAGCCAAACCAAATTCTAGGCATTACCCGTGCAAAATGAAGTTGATATTAAGGATCTTCTATGTATTTTATATCCTAGATCTTCAGTTGTCCTACTAGTCACAGGTAACAGCAGAAACTTATTAGGGGAAGGAGCTGATAAAAAAAAAAAAAGATATTTTGTGATTTTTACTTTAAGGTGCCAGTCAGTTCCTAACAGTAGATCAGAATTGTTGTTTGTAACCTTAAAAATCAAAAAAGCCTACTGTCGATGAAAATTGTTTCTTTTCTTAAAGAATGTCTTCTGAAATCATACAATAATTGTGACAAATTCTAGGAATTCATAGTGACTGCACCTCTAGTCTCCCAAGTTTTCCCTGATGTTTCTCTTTGCTTTTTTGGTGACTGTGTATATATAAAACATACTTATTTTCTTTTTAGAGTTTCTGATATAATGCCTTATATCCTGTCCTCTCCAGCTTTTGTTTCTGGCACTCCAGTTTATTATGAGTTTGAATTTATTTTGGGTTTTGACCAAGCGCAGTAGCTTATTGGATAAATCTTTGGTCTTTTCTGCAGTTTTCCATCCTAGCAGAGTCCCAGGGGTCTTGTGCTATTAATCCTACAAATTTTGGAATTCTCTAGTCAGAACTTCTGACTTCTAAATGCAGCTGCACTGGCCAAAAGGTAGCATGAAAAAATTTCCAAATTGGAGTTGCTTCCAAAAAGTGTTGCCTGAGGCCAAATGAGGAGCAAAATGTCTCCTCTTTCTTCCCCTCATCATCTTCCATACCAGTTCCACTGTTAGTAGCTGAAGAAATCTCAAAAGATACCTGAACTAGAATTTTTACTAGGGATATTTTCAAACTTGTGTGTTTAGTAGGTTGATAAGGTAAAGTGCCTTTCATTTTCATCACTTTTTGGTGTTGCAACCCAAGCTTTTGAATTAGTAATCTTCATTACTATAATAAGAATTGAATCTGTTTTTTTCTGTCGTTCCCATTTTCTTAGTACCATTTCCCAGATACTAAATTAAGTCTTCAGGGATATAATAGTGAGCAGAACAGATGAAAACCATCCCTTTATGGAGCTTATTAGCATTTATGGGAAAAAGAAATAATTGTATAATACATATAATTACAAAAATAGATGCTGGGAAAGAAAAGTATAGGGAAACTTAAGTATAAAAAAACAGGAGAACCAGCTCTTGTTTGAGATTTTGCATATGGGAATAGTGATGGTCAGGGAGGGCTTCCCTGAAGAAATGAGCTGAGGTCTGAAAAATGAATATAGCAGTAAAATAAGAAAAGAGGGTGAGTAAATTGGTGGTTATAAGGGGAGTATTATACATATGTCATTTGAGGCCAGAGTAGCTGACTAGAGACAGGGGAGAGTGGCATTAGATAAGGCTGGAGCAGATGGCCATGGCTGGATAATGCAGAGCCTTTCAGGGTGTTTAAGGACCTTGGTCTTTATCCTAAGAAAGCCACAAGTTATTTTTAAATAGGTAGATATATTGCATTGGTGATGTTTCCTTACCCTCCCTTTTATAGATTCAGCCGCATTTTTAAAACAGACTGCTGTTTAAGTTGATAGTATATCTTTTCCACATAAATGAGATCTGATATCTATCTTCCTCCCCTTGTCTTTTAACAATCCTGTCTTGACTGTTAAGTTTGGAAGTCATTTTCAAGTCAATACCTTTTCATGCTTGAGATTCAGTTGTTCCTTTTTCAGAACCTGGGCCATAAATTTCTTTTTACTTACCTACTCCTGAAGTTACATTATCAGTTGCCAGTGAGCATCTGATTCTTAAAATCTAAGTGTTTAACAACAAATTTTTTAAATGCTTCTTGTATAATTTTTGGATTAACAATGATTCCCTAATGTTTTGTTTGTAATACTTCAGGAAGATGATTCTTATATGTAATGTATCCCTCTTCTCATTCAGCTCTTATCTTCTCACTACAAAGTGTTCCTGTCCTTGTGTCTGAACCTCCAAAGAGGCACTGGAGTCCAGTATGGGCTTGATGTAGTCACCAACCACATCCTTAGCTTTATATATCGTAACATAAAACGTGTAAGAGAGGTTGGGTAGCTAATGGTATAGATGCCAAATAGTTTATCATTAAACTTACCCTCTTTTAAGGTAAGAAGCTCTGTAACTCCAGAAATGAAGCCTTATACCTGCTGCTATCAGATTAATATGTACAAATTAAAAGTACTAATTTTAGTCTTTTTGCATAAAAACTTTTGTCCTTCAGTGGGATCTGACTGTTGTTAAAATTTGAGTTTCCTATGTGAATGAATCTCATCTCAAAATCTAATCCCTTGTAAATTTAAATTTACTTAACCTCATTCTGCAGGCTGCTTTAAAAATACCAGATATTTGTGCTTGAAGTCTTATCCCAATATTTCAGATTCCCTGTGTCGTTTACTACTGGCTTATTGCTTGCTTCCTCAGAAGATACAGATAGGGAACACATGACAAAGATGAACCAAATCCTTAGCTGGTTATCTTACCCTGATTGTCTAAGCTAGATCCTTTGCACACTAAAACCAAATAGGCCTGACCAATCCTACATCTTTCTTCTCCTTTTCTTTTTATACAGCTTAACCAATTAAGACATGAATATAGTAGCCACAAGAGAGGGAAGAGGGTATATCAGGAAGTGAAAGAAAACTGCCCTTTTTTACTTGGATGAAGCCACTATGCCTAATTGTTAACATTTTATTCTAGGTACATAGTGTTTACTTTTGGGAGGGGAAGAAGGAGAGGAAATTGTGCATAGCAAATCACATCCCCAAAGTTATTTTTTAAATTGGTTAATTGAAATTTGGAATTATTTTTTCAAAAAAACTTGTACCATTTAAAACTGTCTCAGACCATCTGTGTTGAAGGACCTTTTTTTTACTCTTTATTTCCAGTCTTTTGTAGAAATGGATGGACACTTTTGTAAATACACTGATCACATGCTTAGATTTAGTTCTGGCAGTGTTAACCATCTTTAAAGGGTTTTAAAGTCTTGCTCTCAATTTCTTACTTTGTAATGGAATGGTTAGCAGTTTCCAGAGCACATTTTGACACTAAAGTATTTCCTAGGATAGGAAACATCTTAACAAAAGATGTCTCTACATTTTCAAAGTTGGAACCTAGAATCACATTTCTCATAAAAATAATTTAAATAATATTGTAAATACTACAATGTAATGGGTTATGATCCCTGACCTTAAAAATAGTATTGCTCTAGGAGGACATCATTATCCTAATGAAAAGCTTTTGTTGAATGCCTTTCTGTAAGACACTGCTAGGTACTAGAAACACTGATATAATTTTAAAAATTGCTGATAGAATACATGTGTGAAAAAACAGTGAAAAGGTGATAAATACAAGTGCCTATGAAGGAAATTAAGCTCTGAACATTATGCTCTGGGGTGATTGGGAATGGGGTCTTTGGAAGAGGGAGGAGAGTACTTTGATGGAGACTTTATTATTTTACGCAAGCCTTACAATCTTGAGAGAGATCATTTCCTCATTTTATATATATCAAGTCACAGCTAATAACTGAAGCCAGTATTCAAACTTGGATTTTCTGTCTCTATTTTATCATTGTATATTATTTTCCTGTGTAAGGCTTTAGTGGAGATAAAAGAAATGGCAGCCATTTCGTAGACAGCAGTTAGGCAAAAGATTTGGCAGTTGGGGACTCAGAAAATTTGGAGAAAGGAATGATGCATACAAATGGTGTTTTAAGAATAAATTAACCTGGCCTTAATATATAGGTTATATATAGGCAATTAAGAATAGGATAGATTGGTTGTAATGAATGGATTATCTTCTAACATGTAGAAATTACAGAATATTACCCATTACTATGTTTTGGAGTTTGCTAATTCTTTGGCAAGGTGACATTTATGGAACAATTTTTATAGGAAAATGCTAGTTATCTTTTAGTAAAACAGCATGTAGATTTTTTAGATGGCAGACATAATTTTTAAAAATCAAATTTGGATATAATTAACATTTAATGAAAAAATACACCCACCTTAAGTATATACTTTGAGTTTTGACAAATGTATGCACTTGTACAACTGTGATCACAATCAAGATATAGCACATTTCCATCACACTGAAAAAAATTTCTTTGGGTCCTTTTATAGTTGGTCTCTTTAATGTACTTTAGTATGGTTTACGTGCAAATTCACTCTTTGATATATAGTTCTGAATTTTGACAAATGCAAACCATTAGTGTATGCATATCTCTACAGTCAAGATAAAGGTCCCTAAATTTCCCTCATGCACCTTTTATAGTCAGCCCTCCCCCTCCCTACTCCAGATGTGTTTTTAAACTGTAAATGATTCATGTCAGAAAGTTAACAATATACATAAATTACCTATTTTTCAAGAGTCCCATCGTATGCCATTTTAATTTTGTTGATACTTAAATTGTTATTCTCTGTTTCTCCCCTCGTATATTTATGCTTTCTAACTCTTAGACCCTAAAACTTCTGCTTTTCTGTATTTTGTCCTGTACTGATACCTAGCATACTTTATATGTTCTAGAAATTAGAAATGCCCTGTAAGACCCCTACCCTGTAGTTTTTTAGCATACAGTTTTGTGTACCACACTATGAAGATAGAGGCATCCTAACATCTTCTGTTGAAGTATCTCATTTGCCTCTTACCTCTCTAAGAAAAAAGAGACCTGGGCAAAGTTACAAAGTAATCTCTTCATAATATGTCCTCATTTCCAACCATTACTTCTTAATATTCTCTTGCCTCAGTGTTTTTATATAACTCTTCCCCTCTGATTATAAGAATGCCTACATTGAGACCATTATTTAAAAAAAAATAAAAATATACCCTTTATTGATTTCTTACTGCCCTTTAACTACTATGTACTTTCATTCTCTACATGAGTAAAATGTCTCAAGTAAGGGATCCATACTGCTTCCCTTTTCTCAACATCTGTTCTCTATAGCCCTTTATATGTGATTCTGTATCACATGACAGAAACTATGTTCTGTAAAATTATTAATGGCTCCAGATCAACAAATAAATTGTTCTCTTTTGCAGTTTAAAGATAACTACAAAAGCCGGTTGATGTTTCTGTTTATTATGTCCCATCTTAATAGTTTTCCTGTTAATAGATATTTTTCAAAACAGAAGGATCACTATAGTTTATGCTTCCTTTTCCTTTTACATTGTTTTTAAAAATGAAAATGGCATGTTGAATCAGTTGTATATTTTCTACTCCAAATTGCAGTAAGAAGTATTGGTTCTGTATCATTTATTAGGAAAATGAATTTCCATACCTTTAAAAATCTATACACTTTTATGGATTCAGCTACCCTTACCAGAAGGGAAACCTGTCCCCATTTTATAGGTAGAACACTAAAGCATAGTAAAAATTATCTTGCCCCTCATTTTGTGGTCTGTTTTTTTACCTTATTCCTTTGGTGTTTTAATTTTTTTGTATTGTGTATTCTTTTTTTTTCTTTTATGCACTTAATTGGTAAAGTGTGGGGTCATGGGCTCTTTTTCTTAAATAGAGTTAAGAATAAGGTGATGTATTTATGTATTTATAAATTAGCTGAACTAGCCTTGTTTCAATGTTATATTTTAAAGTGTAAGCTATTTTTATTATAGGATGTTAAAGTGATAAAAAATGCTTTGTTTGTTTTGTTTAGTTTGTCAGCTCATCTGCAGCTTACATTTACTGGTTTCTTCCACAAAAATGGTATGTATTTTAAACATTGGTATTCTAATAACAAAACACCTTTGTGAATGTCAAAAAAAATTTTTGTGTGTGTAAATTTATAAAATTATTTAGTGGAAAAGATGTTGACTCTGAACATTTCATTTCTCTTTAGTTTACTACAACAATTCCATTCATTGCTTTATGATGAGAAGTGGAGGATGTAACTTGCAACTCTTTAAAGTAGTGGTTCTGAAATCTTAGTGTGGGTAGAAACATTTAGTGTGGGTTTAAAATACATATACCTGGATCCTACAAAGAGGATCTAGTAGGGTTTTGATGGAGCTTAGGAGTCTGCATTTTAATAAATCAACAAGATGATTTAGGAGGTTGTCTTAGGAACAAATTTCAGGAAACTCTGCCTTAAAAGCTTTTAGGTAGACCTTATATACATAAGATCTTGTTCAGAGCCTGGTTTCCTTATTGCTTTCTTGCTATCCATTTAAGTTTTAAGTGGATTTTTGAATTGTTAAATTAATCCATGCTGGGCATGATTGTTCTTGAAGGTAAATGTTAGCTTCACCTGGCTTATACCTAAATGGACAAAATTCCAGTACTTATTTCTAAACTTTAAGAGTACTTTAAAATTTTCTAAGAGTACTTTTAGGGCTCTGTTGCTAAAAAAAAAAATACTGTATAACATCTTACCCAACTCAAACCCATCACCTTCCCAGAGATCAGAGGTAAAAAATAATGGGAAAATCTGTTGTAAAGTTAAATATATTTTGACATTTTTCATTTCCGGTGTCTTTTGAGCTTTAAATTACAAAGACTAATGAAATTTTTAATTAATTTACTTAGAACCTGTAAGAAGTGAAGAGTCTCCTGAGTAGAGGATTCTTTCTGCATAAAAGAGTATGCAGTTGATGTTTTGCATCATATTCTTTAAAAAATAATAAAACAACTGAAACAACCTCTATCAGTGGGATATATCAATATGATTTTATACAAAGAAAAGTACACAGTTTTAAGTGTTACTTCATTAAAAGGTGAAAGCAGGCTGGGTAGTTTCACCTGGTTTCAAAATTGATAAAAGGCCTTCGGTTTGTCCATCTTAAATTTGTGTGTATATCCTCTGTCATACAGTGGAATAAAACCTATTCTATGAGAAACATGGCAAGCTGGTCATCCTTGGTATTGTTTAGTAAAAAACAAAGTTTAATAAACAAAGTGCTTATATTAGAACAGTGTGGTAACTAGTCAGATTTTTAAGTAAGAAATTAGAGCTCTGGTACTGTTTTAGGAGCTCGGTGGAACTTCGAGTTTTTGCCTTATGTCTGGCCCATTCTTTAATATAGAAGTAATCTGAGTAGTAGTTTTATATCCTTTTTTCCTAAATCATTAAAAACATCTTGTAGAGCTCTAATTTCTAATCATTCATCATATTTGGTTTTCTGTGGTACTTCTAAAGTACATGTACTTTAATATTTTTATAGCTTATAACTTGAATGTTATAGGTTTGTTATAGCCCTTTGTTCACAGGGACTTACATAAAAACAAATTATCCATCACTGATATTAGTGATGGATATTAATTGAATATTAATCAGTTAATATATTTGATTAATATCAATTCAACTGAATTACTTTTACTTGATTTATGAGTAGAAATTAATTGAGATGTAGTCTAATTAAACTTCCTATTTATATGACAAAATATGTAAAGTTCAAAAATTGCTTCAGTTCACTTGAAGTTTATTTTTTCTTGATGTTACTGAAGTAAATGGGAAAGTAAACTCTGTTGATACTTCTGTTTCCAGAAAATAATTTCCCATTATAACTTTGAATTAGTGGAAAGAAGGAAGAAGCAGATATGTTGCCTCTTGTCTATTCAAGGTATATTTGTGTCTATTTTTTTTACAAAATAATATTTTTAAGAAATCAAGATAGAAAACCAACATCAAAATCCCTAAAATCTAATTTTTTTCTTTTGTTTTTAAATGAAAACTTTTGTATAGCACTAACTACTTGAAACTGCTTAGAATGAGTACACAGAAATTATTAGGGTACTGTTTTCATGGTGAGTATTGTTGGAGAGTGTCTCTGTTATTTTGTTTTAGACACTGGATTATTTTTTGCTTTATTAAAGTGTTTTTACCCTGAATACAACTTCCAAAGGGACTGATTCAAATGTATTTTATGCACAACTCCTGCGTAAGAAGGGTGTTTCTAAGTGGAAAAAAGTATTCTGCAATATCTCAGAACAAAATTACTTTTGTATATGTTCATGGACTCATATATTATAGTAGTTCTATATATTATTGAAACAATAATGAATGAATGATTAAATATTAAGTCTTTGTTAGTTGATAGAGAATATAGACTGTTGTTTAAATTAAAACCCCTGAACTTTGTAAAACAAGATGTTGATTCCCCTAGGTAGTAGATACCATCTTGATTTTTGCTATCCCATTTAAGCTTAAAGAAGTTCTGGGAGAAAAAGCTAAAAAATAGTGGTCTTTCTTGTGAAATGACAACATGACATGTCATATAGCTTTTATAATGTCTGATGTTTTTTGAAATCCAATTTCTTATCTATTTGATCATAAATCTTGCTCAAATCAGGTAACTTTTTAGTTTTTCTGTAAAACTAATGTGGAGTTTAACCATTTCTGTACCACTATTAATGTATTCAAAATGAAGCATGTATAATAACTAGTTCAATTTAAATGATCTTTATGTAATTTTCTAATGGTAGATTTTGGGAGCGGGAAAAAGATTTTAAGTGTTTATTAGTGTATGATTGCCTCTCCTGAACTATTTCATTTGTGTTTGCCCCAAAACTTTAAATATTTGTCAACACTTTGACTAGCAGTTTATTATATTATTTTATTATCATAAATGTTAAATATAGCAGAAGTAATCACATTTTTTATATTAATTGCCATCTTTGAAAGAAAATCACAGTATGTAGGAAGGTAATTACAGTTTTCTTGTGAAAGGTTGATTTAAATGACTATATATAAAGGCATTTAAAGAGTTGGCTACAAATTTGGTGGTGATTCTGGGGAAAAAGAATGAGTAAACTTCTGAAAAGGCTTCTTTTTAGGAAAAATTTTTAAATTCCCACACTGCTTTGGAAAATTAGTACTAATATTTCTTAAAACATATTTTAAAGTATCAATTTTCTGTTTAGATAAGCCAACACAAAATTCAGAAAATGAACAAAATTCGGTTACCCTGGAAGTCCTGCTTGTGAAAGTTTGCCACAAAAAAAGAAAGGTAACATATTAAGTAATATTGGTAGATAAAGTAGAATAATATTGTAAATTAAATATGTTCATGCATATATATTGTTTTTAAACCCTGAAAGTTTTTAATATGTTGATGGCTGAATTGTGAAAGTAGTAACTTCTGTCAGCCTACCAGATTTTTATGTTTTTTTCCTAGTCTGGCAACAAGTATCTGCATAAAACTTTCTCCTACAGGAGTCTGACAGTGAAGGGAAGAAACTGTTTTTTTAGCATTTGTGGGTATAAATTCAGTCACTTCCATACCACTTCAGTCTGTTAGCTTATTTTGTTAGCTATTTGTACCCATTGATATTTTTAAGGGCTAAGAGTTAAGGAGAGGCACATAAGAGACAGTTTTTCCCAAAAGGATTATCTCTCCTAACACTACTCTCAGGCAAAGATTTTCTGTTGCCAGTGTTATCAGCCATTAGCTTATTAATAACACTGCTTCAGATATTTATTTATAAGATAAGATCATTTCACCGCAGTAACAAGTGTTAGGATGGTTAGATTTCCTGGGCAACCCACCAAAGCCAAGGTACATTTTCAGAGCCTCAGGACACTGGGTATTTTAAGAGTAAGAATGACCTATAAAGAGGTTCCTATTGCTGATGTTCTTCCAAAATCATAGTAAAGTGATGTGGGGCTTAAAAACAGGGCTGGAGCATTGGTATGGAGTAGACTAAGGTGATAGGAGACAGGAATGTAAGTATATATTCTTTAAAGTTAAGAAATATCCCCACTCCCAGCAGTCATATATATGACAAGCAGTGGTGTGAAAATTCTTCAAAATATATTATTATTTAGGAAAAGAAAAGTTAATATATTATCCTTTTTGTGTTCCAAAAAAAAATAGGCATAAACATTTTTTTGGATATACACAACCAACTGCTAATATTAGTCAGCTTTGGAGTGTAAGACCTTGAGGCTGGAAGAGATATTTCTTGTTTTACCCTCCTTCACAGAGTAGAATTTTTTTAGATCATAAGCATGTATTCTATTTATTTTAAAAAAGAAGCTACCATAAAATATGTACTATATTTTCTTAGAAAAGTCTTCTACATCTTTCAATTTCTCAACTATGCTCTTTCAGGGTAACTCTAGTTATATAATTACAGAACATTACTCAGAAGATAGTAATGTTGCTTCTATTAAACAAAATATTTAAATATGTGGATTTACTATATCATAATATTGACAGTGGGATTATTTTAATCTTTTTTCATTTCTAATGGTACCATCAATTATTAAAATAGAAAATACAAAAGACTGATTTATTTGAGTTTAAGCATGGTTTTAATTCCATATTTCTAATTTAAAGTTTTGATGACCATCAGCTAAACATTGGATATACTGTATCATTAATTATATTACAGAAATCCTCAATTGTGTTAGTATTTGGAGTATAGTTGTCCTGGATTTTCTTCTTGCTTCATTGCAATTTTCAGAGCAATAGTTAGAATTTTAGCATGCGTTTTTAACATGACCTATACCATGTTTCCTGTATTTGTGAATAGAGGTTTTATGGTAATTCTTATGGTTACATATGCATAAATAAATATAATTTAATAATCTTTGCCTTTGCAGGATGTAAGTTGTCCAATAAGGCAAGTTCCTACAGGTAAAAAGCAGGTGCCTTTGAATCCTGACCTCAATCAAACAAAACCTGGAAATTTCCCGTCCCTTGCAGTTTCCAGTAATGAATTTGAACCTAGTAACAGCCATATGGTGAAGTCTTACTCATTGCTATTTAGAGTGACTCGTCCGGGAAGAAGAGAGTTTAATGGAATGATTAATGGAGAAACCAATGAAAATATTGGTAATTTTTATTTTAATAACTTTACTAGATTTTGTCATTGGAGATGAAGGTGGTCAGTGAGAATGATTGAACCAATATATGTTCATAGTATTCATAATTATGTGCAAAGTATTTATTTTTGAGTCATTTTAATTAAAGTTTAGCCTTTTTAAAGAAAATTATGTAGAACTGGAAATAACATTGCATGGGTTCTAATAGCATGGCTTTTATTTGCAGATTTCTTAGAGTCTAATGAGATAATTAGTTTTATGGTACATTGCCTTGGCTCTTAGACTAATGGCTGTTGTGCTGTACTAAGTAATTTACTTAGTCCGTAGAATTCTCATTATTACATGATGAAACATATTTCATGCAGTAAAAACATATTGACTATTTGATAGAAAAGACTGGTATTTCAGATTAGTCTCTCAGCAAACAATAAATTCATCCCCCTATATTTTATTGTGAAAAAATTTCATAATACAGAACAATTTGAAATAATTTTATAGCAAACACCTATCTACCCACCACTTAAATTCTACGGTTAACATTTTATTATATTTGCTTATCACATATTGATTCCTCTATCCTTCCAACAATTCTGAATCTACCTTTGAGATAATCATTCAACCACCATACAGGTGTTGGGGATACAAAGATGATTAAAGCATCCAATCCTATTTAGCAAAGGCTTACAATTTAAGAGTAAGGAGGTAGACATAAAATAAATAATTGCAGCAAAATGATGAGTGATGTAATAGAGATATATGTGAAGTTTAGTGGACAAGCACCTTGGAAGAAATAATCTTTGCATCTTGAAGTATGCTTTGAAGTTCTTCAAAAGTAACCATGAATGAGGGGAATTTTTTCTTCTTTCCTAACAAGGAAGATCATTCTGAACAGAAAACATTTGCAAATTATGAAGTTATTGTTAATGAATGTCAAAAACGACATACACAAATAGTAAAAAAAGAGTGTAAGTCTGGATATTATACTGCAATTTAAGTGTAATTTGTACCTCATTTGGGATAAGTGTATGTTATGTGTAAGCGACTATATATCATAAAAAAGACATTTTTTTGCTTGAATATTTAATTCATGAGAAGTGTTTGTTAAATTCAGATGTCAATGAAGAACTTCCAGCTAGAAGAAAAAGAAATCGTGAAGATGGGGAAAAGACATTTGTTGCACAAATGACAGTATTTGATAAAAACAGGTAATGTTGATGGACAAATGAGGCTCCTATAATGTTCTAGAAATGTCTTTATTCTGAAGCAGAATATAATGGTGATATTATTTCTTTGCCTTTGTTTTTCTTTATTCTTATGAATGAAAAAACATTTGTAAATGCTGAATTTTTCTCTTCATCACATAGAAAGCAATAAACACAGAGGAGGAATTACTTGAATGGCTCAGTTAAGACTGTTTATTTGGCAAGTATTTTCTGAGTTTCTTCTCTTTGTCAGACACTGTACTAGTTAGTGAGAAGGCAATTGTTTGCCTTCATGGTGCTTAACTTCTAGTCGAGGAAAGAGACACCACCCTTAAAATATATCAAATAATGTCACTTAGTGGTGAGTGCTGTGAAGAAAAATGAAGGTAGTGAATGGTTGTTCTACAGAGAAAGCTGCTGGTAGAAGTAAATATTTGAGCAGACACCTGAATGAAGTGGGGCCTGGGCAAATCTTGAGGTTATGTATTTACTTAAGTTAAGGAAGAAAATTGTAATCGTCACTGTGTGGTCCACATGCATTTGGCACGGGGTAGCAAAGGACACAGATTTATAATCATTGCATTTTTCATTTGGGACTGAAACATCTTAGTGCCAGTAAGAGATCTAGGAAGCAGTGCAGCATTCTTCTCTGACTGGAGAACAAAATCTATAACATGTCATGATTTTTTGTTCTAGGCTGCTCACTGGTTGGTAACAGTTTAATGTCAGTCAGGTACAGGAGAAAGAGCCAAGAAAAGCAACTAGTACATTGTTCCTACTCTTTAAAAAGTATTAGAACTGTTGCCTTAATGTAGTCATTTATTAGCCAGCAGGTTAAAAATGTACACGGTTTTTAAAACAAGGCAAAGATGATTGGGAATGATGGCATATAGTTTGGCTACCATATTACCTTAGAATATATCACTTACTGTCACTTAATATTACTGACAGAAAACAGTGTAGTGTTTTTTTAAAGTTAGAAATTTGTGGATCAAAGATTTAAATGGAAAACAACAGAAACAAACTAGGAGATAGTGTTTATGTCTGGGGGAGAAGCAGTTATGGCACACTGGGCTATATTGATGTTGGTAAGTTCTGTTTTAGGCAAGGTGGAGGGTACATTGTATTCTTTTTAAAATTCTACCTTACATATGTATTAACATAACTCTGTATATGAAATGCTGCTTTTTATTTAGTGAAAAAAAATTCCAAAAAGAAACCATGGGAGAATTTTCTCCTAACTTACTTTGAAAATTTCCAAGCCTACAAAAAAAAGTTGAAAGAAGAGTACCCATGCACTCTTCACCTAGATTCACCCGTTGTGAACATTTTCCCACGTTGGCTTTATTTGTATGTATTTTATTTTTGTGGTGAACCATTTGAAAGTTAGATTGTGACACTCTTCATTGCTTACTGCAAAACACTTCAGCATTTATCTTCTAAGAACAAGGACATTTCTCTCCATAACCACAACATACCATATTTGAGAAACTTAGCATAATGCAAAAAATACAATAAATACTCTGCCCAACTGACACAAATAATGTCTCTTACGGATCTTTCCTCTCTCCCCCCCCAAATGAGGATTATGATCTGTAGCTAGTTGTCAGTTGCCGTATCCAGTCGTCTTGAATTTGAAATTGTTCTCGAGCTTTCTGCCTTTTGTGGCACTTTTATTTACTTTTTTAAGCACAAGCTTGTACTTATGCAGAATGTCTGTCTCTCATCTTGGACTTTTGTGATAGTTTTCCTTTGAGTAGATTCAGGTTAAACATTTTGGAATTCTAATTGGTGATGTGTTCTTTGTGCATATCACAGGTTACTAGGTTTGATCACTCAGTTAAGGTGTTCACCATATTGCTCCATTGTAACAGTTCCTTTTCCCTTTAATTAATCAGTATGCATCTCTGTGGTAATACATGAAACTGGGTAAGTGTCCTTTTCTCCCCCGCAGTGGCCTTTTACTCAACAGTTTTACATCCATTGATGATTCTGCTTGAATAAATTATCCATGGCAGTTGCCAAATGTTAACTTTTTATCATTTCTTCCACATTTATTGGCATTTTTCTGTAAAGAAACGCATTACTTCCCTCAACTTTTTTTTTTTTGGTCAATATAGATTAATGAATTCCATTTTTCTGTCTCTTTAATCTAGTCATGTTAATTTATTTTAATGCTCAGATTACCCCAAATTGGTCAGGAGTTGCCCCTTTAAGTAAGCTCTTTTGTCCTTTTTACTTAGATAGTTTTTTGTTTTTCCTTACTTTGTGGGACAGAGATATTCCAGGCTTACATTCTTCTTTTTCTAATACTGCTCTGGAATTGGCCATTTCTTCAAGAAATCTTGGTTCCCCTTAGTAGAGGAAAAGTATTTACAAGTCAAGATTCTGGGGAGTTGGATATGTAAAATTCTTTTTTATAATAGTCTCAGAAAAGTTCACTTGTCCTTAAAGAATGACCAAAGTTCAAAAACCATATAGAAAAAATATGAAAAATTGAGCAAAATAAAAACTGAAAACAAAAAAAGCTGACACAAGCCAAGTGAAAATGACAAGTTGGGAAAGTAATTTCAGCTCCCAGATAGATGTCTCATTCCTCTAATATAAAAGGACCATCCTAATTAAAAAAGAAAAAAATTGCTGCCCAATAGAATGAGCAAGGGAGAGAATAAAAATGTTTATTAAAAAATACATATCGTTCTTCTTAAAAGATAAGACATCTCAATATAAAAGCACACTGAGTTATCATTTTTTCCTATTACCAGTTTGGCAGAGATCAAAAATCTTGATAAAGCACTGTTGATGAGGCTGGGGAAAAGGGGCCTCATGCATTTCAGGTAGGAGAGTAAATTGGATTATAGTTAAAACGTACAACTATAAAATAGTATATTATGTAGCCATGTAAATGCATGAGGGAATCTCCATTTCAATTTAGAAGTATATGAATATTACCTATTCAAATAAAATCAGCTTTTTAAAATATTGAGTAGCTTTGCTGATGTACTATTGAAGCAGAATAAATCCAAGTAGCATAACATAAAGACAAAAATTCTTAAGTCTCAAATCATTTGGTGTTGAGTCAGACTTTGGAGATGGACTACCTGGATTCAGTTGCTAGCTCTGGCTACCTACTGTGACATTTAAGGCAAGTTATTTAACCTTTCTACATTAGTTTCCTCTTCTGAAAAATGGAATAATCCCATCTTCTTAATAGAGTTGTTGGGAAGATTAAATGAGCCATGTAAAGTCTTTTAAAATAGTGCCTGGCACATAGTAAGCACTCAATAAATGTTAGCTATTATCACATAACAGAATTTCTCTAAGACTGATGAAGAGAAGCCAGATTCTTTTTATACACAAGTATTGAGCATGGTTGAAGAGTGGTGTTTAGGGTAATAGTGTTAATGCTTAACAGTATGGAAAATATAAACTATACATACATGAATGTACATACACATTAAAACTAATCCACAAGTATGGGTATAATTTGATAATTTGGTTAAATGGGTATTTCATTTATTCTTTAATCCATGAAATGTTTATTGAGCACCTATATGTGCCAGGTGCCCCCATCTTATAGGTATCCAATTCACTAATCATCAGTTTACAGGTCAAATAAAAAATCAAGAATTCTAGTTCAAATATTTACAGTAATTAAAAAATAAACAGAGGGTGTAATTCTTAGTGGTTCCCTAAGGCAATTTTAACATTGTTATCCCAGTTTTAAAGGTATAAAGCCTGCAAACATGCTTTATACTTAATGTTTAAAACTTACCAAATTTTGAGGCCTTAGGCATATTAATACTTTAAATGTTTAAGTGTAGGTATATTTAAAACCTTGTTGGGTATGTAAGGCAGTTTATAAATTTAATAAATGCTTTTTAGTATAAGTTTAAAGATGTAGAATTTGTGTACTTAAAATAATACACAGGTTACTTTAAAGTGTATGTGTTTGTCTAACAGGCGCTTACAGCTTTTAGATGGGGAATATGAAGTAGCCATGCAGGAAATGGAAGAATGTCCAATAAGCAAGAAAAGAGCAACATGGGAGACTATTCTTGATGGGAAGGTATGGACTGCTTAGAAGGTTGAGCACATTATAGTTATGAACTCCCATTTTTAATTGATGTTTTTCTTCCCCAAATGTAAATTCATGTTGGAAGTAAAGAGTCCTTTGTTTTTATACCTTGAAAAACACAAGTAAAAATTATCAAGTCAGAGTACTTAATGGAAGGCATTATCCTTGAAGCCAGACTGCCAGATTCAAACCTCCACTCCTAGCTGTGTGGCATTCTGGCAAGTTACTTAATTGAGCATCTGTGTCTCAATTTCTTCATCTGTAAAATGAGGCATAGATTTGATGGATTAAATGAAATACATAAATATGCTTAGCATCGTGCCTGGCATAAAATAAGTGCTCAATAAATGTTAACTGCTATTTTAAATCCAGTGGGTAACATGATGACTAGTAATAAATTTATCAAGATATCTGGAGAACTTAAGATACAGCATACATAAAAATAACTTCTAAGAGACCTAAAAGAATAAATAGGCATATATACCTTTCTTGGATAGGCAAACTCAACAGAATAACTGTCATTTATTTCAAAATATATTATGTCTGTGTACCACCACAGGCAAAATCGTGAAAGGATTTTTTTTAAGCCTGAAAATCAGTCTCAAATTAACCAGAATAGTACATAATGATACTGAGGAAAATTATGGAAGTTTTCTGAGCACCTTAACTTACCAGATACTAGAATACCAAAAAGTTAAAAGAAATTAAATTGTATGGTATAACAAGCATAGGAATGGACAAGCAGATCGCTGAAGCATAGCTCTGAAATAGTTTTGTTTACATTCAGAATTTAGTCTGATAAAACTGGTGCTAGATGTGTGGGAGAAAGACTTCATTAATTGTGACAGAACTGGTCTCTGGCCATTTGGTAGTAAGTTAGACCTAATAAATTCTAGAAGGTCATAAATGTAAATGTAAAAATCAACACTAAATAACTTCAGAAAAAAATGTAGGTGAATATTAATAAAATCTTGCTCTGAGGAAAGTCCTTCTCTAAGTATGATGCAAAAGCCAGAAAAAATTAAATAAAAATGACCTAAATGAGTAATTTTTATACTGCAAAAACCTAAAGTTAAAAACAAATGATGGCCTGGGAAGTATATTTGTAACATAAAAAAGGCTAATATTATGGATACAAAAGTTTTATATATTAATAAGAAAAAGGTAAGCAATCTAATGTTAAAATGGATAAAGGACAATCAGGCAGTTCTTAAGCAACAAATATAGATGACTAGCAAGCTTTTAAAAAGGTATTCATTATTAGTGAACCTTCTAGTGTTCAAAGACATGCAAACAAAATCAGATAATACTTTTGACTACTAGTTTGCAACAGTTAAAAAGACTTGACAATTTCCATTTGGAGATGTGAGGACAGATACTCTTAATAATGTTTTAATGTAAGAGTAAGTTGTTACAACCTTATTAGAGGGCAGACTTGCAATATTAACACAATTTTAAATTGTATAGTCACTGACAGTTAATTCTAGTTCTACAATCTTGTCACAAAGTAGTAACTGGTTAACTGAAAAGATGTGGGTAACAGGTCTTATCAAAAATTTTTAAATAGTGAAAAATTGGAAATACCTTATATCTAAAAAGATAGCCATTAAAAGGGATGGTACTTTGACGAGATTTTCTTATTTAATTTCAACATAATAGTGTACATACTCCCACTTATTCTAAAATTATAACAATGGTTATCTCTAGGTGATGGGATTTCAAATAATTTTTTCTGTAGGTATTTATTATCTTTATGTTTTTAATCCAAGTTTATTGCATTTATCCATAAGAAAATAAGATATATATGAGTTGTTGGTTTTTCCCAAGAAATTGTTTGAGGCAATATGAAATGGGCATACTTTTAAATCAGATTATTTACGTGTCTTTCTTTTTAAAAGTTCTGTGGTATTCTTTTAAATAAGCGCCCCATGATTTACTAAAACAGTGCTGCTTTAACGGATACTTTGATTATTTTAATTATTTTTACATTTTCAAAAATATAGTGAATTATACTTGCACATGTATCTTTTTGCATTACAAGTATTTTTATAAGATAAATTCCTAGATAGGGACTTACTGTGTCAAAACCAGCTTACCTCATTCCACTTTTACCTCATTCCAGTGTAAAATTAGAGTTTTAAGAGGATTATTTGTAATAAAAATATACAAGGAGTTTAGGCTTATATGGCAGTAAAATAGGAACCCATTGAAGGTTTCAATAAAAGGGAATATTATGGAAACAGTATTTGAGAAGATTATTTGGTCTCATCTATGTGAATTGAAAAATAAAAGTCAGAAACGAGAGCAGCTGAGTGACTGTAATAAGAAGGTAGTACAGATCTATACATGGTTATATAAGAGACACAAAAGAAAAATTAGGTGTCAGATATAATTCTAAAATGTTTAGCTTAGGGTCACTAGTAGAATGATAATGTTAGGAACAGAAATAATTGTACTAGGAAGGAAAGAAAGAAATAAAAATAGATTCATGTCTAAACATATTTTAGTTCAAGGTGATGTTGATACCATTCATGTGGCAATGTCTAACGGCAATTGGAGATACACAGGTTTAGAGTGTATCAAGAGTAAAGAATGGAGAAGCAATTTGGGATTACCAGCCTAATAGGTAAATCCTTGAGGTTGGGGGAGAGATTGGGGCAGATGGTTAAATGTTAGCGAGAAATTAAGGAGCCTAAGGGAAGAGTCCTCTCATAAGTTGTTAGAGGTGGAGGAGGAAAGCCAAGATAGTTCAGTGTCCCAAAATCCACAGAGAAGCAAGGGCAGTTGTCAGTGAAGCTGAGAGAAGTCAGAAAAATTCCTAATTGCCCATATAAGTGAAATCATATGATACCTGTCTTTCTCTAATGTATCTTTACTTAGGAAAATAAAGTCATTGGTTGTCTAAGAAAGATTGCAAACTAGCAAGCTTTGGGTGCTGCAGTTTGTTGTTTTTAAAGACATTTTTAATTGGTTATCAGCATATAAAAACAAGATGTCTTCATGAGAACTTGGATTTCTGACTTTTGAAAAATCAAAAAATCTTCCTGTGCTGGGCCATTGTTTGCACATGGCAACAATTTAGCTGTTACTGATAAAAGGGGCTGCCTCTTTTATTCAGCCTGACCAACTCATACTTAATGTTCTCTGCTCTGCCTCACATATACTTGCCTGGCTACCCCTGTAGGCATTTTAGGTTTTCAATGAAAAATCTGATTTAAGTAAAACCCAGGCTAATTTACATAATAAATACTGGGTTTCTTTTTTTTTTTTTCAGTTCATTCTACAGAATCTTTACTCTTTGCATGTTTTATCTTTTTTAGAGGCTGCCTCCATTTGAAACATTTTCTCAGGGACCTACATTGCAATTCACTCTTCGTTGGACAGGAGAGACCAATGATAAATCTACAGCTCCTATTGCCAAGCCTCTTGCCACTAGAAATTCAGAGAGCCTCCATCAAGAAAACAAGCCTGGTTCAGTTAAACCTACTCAAACTGTTGGTAAGAAAACATTGCTGTCAAAATAATGCTTCGTAGAGTTAGGACTTTAGATTTGTCTTTTGTCATTTGTCTTTTGCTCCAATAATCTTTGGGAAATATTTTTTGACTTAATAGACAAATTGTGAGCCATGGTAAATTAGGTTCCTGCTATATTAAATGTAAAGTTGTGTGTTAAAGTACTGATCAACAGTCCTTTATCCAAAATCTTTCTGCCACATACCTCTGGGAATTTGGTTTTTTTGTTTGTTTTAATTTTAGATGACATGGTATATTGTGTCTGTGCCATGTATTATGTAACACCTCCAAATGAAGTCTGTAGATAGCTCATGTTAATTTAGGACAAGTTTTTCCACTAAATAAATTTGCCTCAAACATGAGAAAATAATTGGTTTTTCAGAGCTTTTTAGATTTTGAAACTGTCTGCTTTTTAGAATTCATGTAAAAATTTGTATATGCTGAACAACTAAATTCAGTATTTCAGTGTGTTTTTACAGTTTTAGGCCTAGACGAGGATCTTCATAACTCTGCTAAGTTAAGGCCCAGGTTGCAGTGTCCTGCCGTTTTGTATCTGCCTGATAGGAACATTGTCCTTGACTTGAGAGCATCCTTGCGCTTTTATTTAAGTCTTTTTAAAGAAAGCAGAAGCCTTAAGACAGCTGTCTTTGACTTTAACCCCTCATGTCCATTCATTGTATGCAAGTCACTGTAAGAGTCAGATTAAAGAAATACAAGAAATGGGCTCTGTCAGGGAAAAGATTTCATAAGTATATTGTGGTCTGAGCACTCCTCAAAATACTCAGTGGCCAAATAGGTAAGAGTTTCAAAGGAACTGAGAAAAAGTTTTATGTAAAATTGTATATATGTAATGGTTACTTCTGTGAGGAAAAATTAAAGCATTGTTTTTAAGCCTGCAATGAAATATTTATACCAAAAAAATTTTTTTATTGAAGTTTAGTTGCTATATAATACTAGTTTTAGGTGTACAACATAATAGTTCAATAATTATATGCATTAACTAAATGCTCACCTTAAGAAGTGTAGTTACCATCCATCATCACACAAAGATATTACAAAGCTACTGACTATATTCCTTATGGTGTACTTTTTATCCCTGTGACTTGAATTTATTTATAATTGGAAGTTTGTACCTCTTTATCCCCTTCACCTATTTTGCCCCATTTCCTACCCTCTCTCTCTGTTGGAACCAGCAGTTCTCTATTTATGAGTCTATTTCTGTCTTGTTTATTTTTTAGATAAAACATATAAGTGAAATCATATGATACCTGTCTTTCTCTAATGTATTTTACTTAGGAGAATAACCTCTGGTGCATCCACATAGTTGCAAATGGCAAGATTTTGTTCTTTTTTATGGCTGAGTAGTATTCCATTGTATATATACCACTATACTTTATCCATTCATCTTTCAATGGATGCTTAGGTATTGTAGCTCTTGTAAATTTTGCTGCTTTATAAACATATGGCTGCATGTATCTTTTTGAATGTGTATCTTTTTGAATTAGTGATACTGTTTTCTTCTGGTAGACACTCAGAAGTGGAATTACTGGGTTGTATGGTATTTCTATTTTTAATTTTTTGAGGAACCTTCATACTGTGGCTACACCAGTTCATGTTCCCACCAGCAGGGCACAAGGGCTCCCTTTTCTCTACATCTTTGCCAATACTTGTTATTTCTTGTCTTTTTTGATACTGACTGGTGTGAGGTAATACCTCAATATGGTTTTGATTTGCATTTTTCTGATGATTAGTGATGTTGAGCATCTTTTCATGTGTCCACTGGTCATCTGTATTTCTTCTTTGGAAAAATGTCTATTTTGGTCCTGTGCCCATTTTTTAATCCAATTTTTTTTTGGTTTTGAGTTATATGAGCTCTTTATATATTTTGAATATTAATCTCTCATTAAATGTATTATTTGCAAATACATTCTCCCATTCAGTAGGTTGCCTTTTTGTTTTGTTGGTAGTTTCCTTCAACAAAAGCATAAGTTTTTTTAGTTTGATGTAGTCCCACTTATTTTTGCTTTTATTGTCCTTGCCTGGGGAGACATATCCAGAAAAAAATCGCTAATGCCAGTGTTCAAGAGTTTAATGTCTATGTTTTCTTTTAGGAATTTTATGGCTTCAGGTCTTATATTTAGGTCTTTAATCCATTTTAAGTTTATTTTTGTAGAAATATACCAAAATTATTAATTGTGATTATCTTTTGGATTTGGAGTGATATTAATACTATTATTTTCAATGTCTGTTAAACCAACAGTTAGTGGATGTCTGCTCATTGCTATGCTATCCACTTGGAATATAATGACCAGTCAGAACCACACTCTGACTTCAGAGTGCTTAGAACATTTTAGTGACTACATACTTGGGGTTACTTTTATAATGGTTTAGGACATAAGAGGTTGTTTTAAAGGAAAAAAATGGCTCCTTCCAGTAAAGACCTTAATATTTAATTAGGAGTACTGATTAAGGCGATTGTTCTGTGGTCATCATTTAAGAGTGAGAACAGAAATTGTGTTAAATATCACCAGTAGAATTCTGTGAAACTGTTAATGTTTAATTATTTTCACAAGATAAATTATGTTTTTATAGGCAAGTATTTGCATTAATATAAAAGTATATATATTTTCAGCTGTTAAAGAATCATTGACTACAGATCTACAAACAAGAAAAGAAAAAGATCCTTCAAATGAAAACCGACAAAAATTAAGAATATTTTATCAGGTAAATAATATCTGACACTGACCCTTTTTTTTTAAGGTATCATGAACAACTGCCTTTGTTTTGCATGTTATATCTTAAAATATTTTGGCATGTTCAAATAGAAAGAATGTCTTTGATTTTCCTTTTAAATTGTTTTAATTGTTTTTAAAGATACTGAAACAAAGTTTGAGATGTGTATATTGGAGATTTGCTGGGGTTTTTTGTTTTTTGTTATCTTAAAGTTCCTTTATAACAACAATACAAGACAACAAACTGAAGCAAGAGATGACCTCCATTGCCCTTGGTGCACTCTGAACTGCCGCAAACTTTATAGTTTACTCAAGCATCTTAAACTCTGCCATAGCAGATTTATCTTCAATTATGTTGTAAGTAACTTCATTCTTTTGTTCACCAATAATATATTGTACATTATGAGACAGTCTTTCAAAAATCTTATTTCATGCAAAATACCAAATTTTTGCTTTGGATGGATTGCGATATGCATGAATTACAATGAAAGATTCATAGTTTACACATATTTGTATAGTGCAGATATATTCTTGCATCATCCTCACACCAACTCTTTGAATTAAATGTCAATTTCCTTATTCTTGCTCCAACAAGAAGTAATTTGTACAATTACCAAGCCAATAAATGGCATAGACAGGATTTTAACACAAATCTTTTCTCTTCTTTTTTTTTTTTATTAAGCTATCATAGATATACACTCTTAGGAAGGTTTCACTGGAAAAACATGTGGTTACTACGTTCATCCATATTATCAAGTACACCCCATGCCCCATTGAAGTCACTGTCCATCAGTATAGTAAGATGCCACAGAGTCATTACTTGTCTTCTCTGAGCTACACTATCTTCCCTGTGACTCCCACACACCATGTGTACCAATCATAATACCCCACAATCCCATTCTCCCTCCCTCCCCACCCACCTTCCCCCTCCCCTCCCCTTTGGTAACCGCTTGTTCCTTCTTGGAGTCTGTGAGTCTGCTGCTGTTTTGTTGCTTTAGTTTTGGTTCGTTATTACACTCCACAAATGAGGGAAATCATTTGGGACTTGTCTTTCTCCATCTGGCTTATTTTTCACTGAGCATAGTACCCTGTAGCTCCATCCATGTTTACGCAAATCTTTTTAATTTCAGGTCTTCTGACTTCGTTTTTACAAACATGCTGGCATGCCTGGCTTGTTTTAGTTTTCAAAACATTAAATATCCACAAGTGCTTTTTAGTTCATTAAATTGGAGGGAAAGGTATTTAGTATAGGAAAATTAATATTTTCTTTCTCTAAACACCATGTCATTTTTGTTAACAGTATCATCCAAAAGGTGCTAGGATAGATGTTTCTATCAATGAGTGTTACGATGGCTCCTATGCAGGAAATCCTCAGGATATTCATCGCCAACCTGGATTTGCATTTAGTAGGAATGGACCAGTAAAGAGAACGCCTATCACACACATTCTTGTGTGCAGGTTGGTGAAAAAGGTCATAAAACAAAAGTTTATTCTTTGATTTTGTTGATGATCTTGAAGGAACACAGGGGAGCCAGACAAAGGTACTATTTAGATGGGAATCAGTTCAGTATTAGCTGAGTCTCTGGTGTGAGTGATATATTGCTTTATAGCTCTCTCTTGCTCCTGTTTCTGTAGGCGGTTCTCACTTCCTCTGTTTAGCTTTTTCCTGTTTTAAGTGTTAATGTCACTATTGCTGCAGTAGTTAGGGGATTAGAGAATTCGCCCAGTGGAAGTTACTGTGTACATGCTTAGGTAAAAACCTGAAAAAAAGGTATATACTCTATTTGGATGATAAGAAATAAAAAGAACCTTAGCCCTGTTACCTAATATTATTATATCAACATTTCTTTTCATTAGGCCAAAACGAACAAAAGCAAGCATGTCTGAATTTCTTGAATCTGAAGATGGAGAAGTGGAACAGCAACGAACATACAGTAGTGGACACAATCGTCTGTATTTCCATAGTGATACTTGTTTACCTCTCCGCCCACAAGAAATGGAAGTAGATAGTGAAGATGAAAAAGATCCCGAATGGCTAAGAGAAAAAACCATTACAGTAATTATTACCATCATCATTATCATTATTGGCAATGATTTTAGTGTTTTATGATGAAATGATTCTTGTTTGAAAACTATTGTTTAATATGAATTAAAAGTTTGACTTAATGTAAAGGATTTTTCCTAAATGAAGGAATTCAGAAATCCATAATTTAAAAAATTGTGTCATTTAAAGGAAGCCAACTAAAGGAAAGCAGATTTTCTTTTTTTTATGATTCTGTACTGTGTGTTTTCATTTTACTTATAGGTAACTATTTCATAACTTAGGATTTCCCTTTTAAAATTACTACTTAAATAGAAGTTGTTTTTAAGAAACACTGCTACTTTGCTGTATAAATAAGCTGGGGTGTTTTTAGTTACAAAAGTTCTATTTTTGACATTGTCACAATTTTTTCTTAGAAATGCTAACTGTATTCTGCATTTAATAGGTATTTTTCTTTTTTAGCAAATTGAGGAATTTTCTGATGTTAATGAAGGAGAGAAAGAAGTAATGAAACTCTGGAACCTCCATGTCATGAAGCATGGGTAGGGTGTTTCTGAATTTATTTCATTTCTGTTTTGCTCTTTTTGCTGCTTACATATTCTATAAGCCTGTGTTGAGTCTTATTTAAAAGTCCAATAGACATAATGCATCCTAAATCTTACCCTAAGCCACAGTATTATAATTGCACAAAGAAAAATGTTGATGCTCACAGTAATTCACAGTCACAACATACATAGGTCACGGGGATGGTAGTACGGCACGGAGAGCACAATGACTCTGTAACATCTTATGTCGATAGGTGGTGACTGCAGTGGAGGGGGTGAGGACTTGATAATATGAGTAAATGTCAAACCACTATGTTGTGTATTTGAAACCATCGTAAGATTGTATATCAATGGTACTTTAACAAAAAGAAAAAGAAAAATAGTCAAAGAATGTATAAGAAAAGTTCTAGTTCCATCTAACAAATAGATTTTATTTTTTATGTCCCAATTTTTCATTCCTTTTATTGCCAGGGAATACAAAATAATATGCCTCATGCTACATGCCTGGAAATCCTGAAAATCACTTAACCATGGTTATTACTACAATTTTTAAAAATGCTTAATTACTCAGAATATCTTTTCTAATTTATTATCTCATAGAGTTCAGGGTATAACAGTTCTTACTTTTCATGCCTTTGTGGCTAGAAGTATGTTCCAAATGTTTTACCTGCAGATCTGCCTTTTTCCCTGTGTGAACTATTTGTCAATACCCATATTTTTCTTCTCTACCTTATTATTAGATCCTCATTTAAGGTTTTCTTCTATAGCACAAGCATCCAATGTTTTTTTCATTTATAGATTAGTGAAATAAATGGGAGGGGGCACTTCTGTTTCTTTACTCTTGAGGATTGCAGAGGAGTTGGCATGTAAATTCTACTCCAGATGTATGGGTGCTGGGCCATAGCTTTTTTTTGTATACTTCCTTCAGCTAAGAATAGTTTTCACATTTTTAGTGACTATAAAAAAAGAAAAGGAAGACAACAGAGATCACATATGGCTTGCAAAGCTTACTATCTAGCTTTTTACAGGAAATGAAAAAAGCCTGGTTCCTAGTCTAGTCATTAAAACTCAGTTATGAATAAAGTATGTATGTGGAGGCCTCAGTCAAATTTTTCCTTTTGTCCTAATATGCCAGTTTCAAGATAGAATTTTAGTCAAAGTTTTAATTCCTTCATACAGATCTGTTAGGGGTTCATTATATATATATTGCAAAGTGGCAGGTAGTTGGGTAAACTTTGGATTTTTAAAAATCTGCAGGCAAGGCGGAGAAAGACAAATGCCAAATAATTTCCCTCAATTGTGGAGTATAACAATTTAGCAAAACTGAAGGAACAAAATGGCAGCATACTCACAGACTCTAAGAATTAACTAGTGGTTACCAAAGGGGAGGGGTGTGGGAGGACGGGTGGGAGGGAGGGAGAGGGAGACTGAGGGGTATTATGTTTAGTACACATGGCGTGGGGGATCACGGGGAGAACATTGTACCACAGAGAAGGCACATAGTGGATCTGTGGCAGCTTGCTGCACTGATGGACAGTGACTGCATTGGGGAATGGGTGGGGACTTGAGAATATGGGTAAATGTAGTAACCACATTGTTTTTTCATGTGAAACCCTCATAAGAATGTATATCAATCATACCTTAATAAAAAAATCTTTTAAAAAGATAAAGGGAAAAAAATCTGCAGGCAAACCTACGCAGTCTTGTTGGACTCACAGTTTTCAGTAACTGAGCAGCCATTCTCTATTTGGTTATCTCAAATTTCATTCATTGTATATGCGCTGTACTTGCCTTCCACCAACACAGCCACACTGTACCACATTTATTGTGACATCTTTTTCTTTATTAATTTGGGTTTTTATATTTTTAATTTGTTTCAGTTTAAGAAATATAAGAAGTACAGCATTATGGTTTGATCTACATATATTGTAAAATGATTATCACAATACGTTCAGCTAGCATCCATCTTCCCATATAGACTTTTTCCTTTATTTTTTATTGTATCTCCTTGTATTACATTGGATTTGCTCTCTTAGCAACTTTCCTAGATATGATACAGCAATGTTAGCTGTAGCCATTATGTTGTACGTCACATCTCTAGTATTTATCTTGTAAGTGGAAGTTTGTACCTTTTGACCACCTTCCTCCAAGTCTCCCTCTCTCAAGTCCTCACCTCTGGTTACAAGTGTGATCTCTTTTTCTGAGTTTTGTTTGTTTTTAGATTCCACATAAAAGTGAGGTCATACAGTATTTGTCTTTCTCTAACTTAATTTCACTTAGCATAATGTCTTCAGCTTTCATCAGTGTTGTCACAAATGTGACATCTTCACTTTCTCAAAACATCACCATGTAGAGAGAGACTGCATCTGAAATTAGAGTATGTCAAGATTAAGGGAAAGAAAAAGGGGATAGTTAACAAATATGTAGGGAGTTAATGAAAGTCGTACTGCTAAAAGGAAATAGTTTATACTTTTAATACTGCCATATGTAATTTCATTAGGAAAAACGTGACAGCTATTTAAGAGCTGGTTAAATTTGATCTCTAAATTTCTAAAATGACAAGCTCATTCAGGTGATTGAATCTCAGATTCACTATCATTTTACTACTTGCAAATTATCACTTACTGGATGGATTTGGATATAGTCTTGCCATTTTGTAATGGTTATCACTCTTGCCTGTGACAGAAGTGCTTTATAGTACTATTGATGTTTCATGTTGTTTTTATCAACCAGGTTTATTGCTGACAATCAAATGAATCATGCCTGTATGCTGTTTGTAGAAAACTATGGACAGAAAATAATTAAGAAGAATTTGTGTCGAAACTTCATGCTTCATCTAGTCAGCATGCATGACTTTAATCTTATTAGCATAATGTCAATAGATAAAGCTGTTACCAAGCTCCGTGAAATGCAGCAAAAGTTAGAAAAAGGAGAATCTGCTTCCCCTGCAAATGAAGAAATCACTGAAGAACAAAATGGGACAGCAAATGGATTTAGTGAAATTAACTCAAAAGAGAAAGCTTTGGAAACAGATGGTGTCTCAGGGGTTTCAAAACAGAGCAAAAAACAAAAACTCTGAAAAGGCTTAACCCCATATTTTGGACAAACACTGAAATTGCATTCTACGGAATTCAGCCTCTAGGAAGAGTTTTGTTTTCATTTTTAATCATAGGTTCCAAACAGGCACTGTTAGATGAAGTAAATGATTTCAACAAGGATATTTGTATCAGGGTTCTACTTCACTTCATTATGCAGCATTATATGTATATCAGTTTTATTGATGTCATTAAAATATTCTCCAGTTTGAGCATGAAAAGCAATACTTCAAAGAAAGTATTTTTAACTTCAACAGTTGTCTTATGAAATATATTGATAATCTAGAAATTAAATTTCATATATTTAAATTACAATGTTTTTTGCATTTGTGACTGGCTGTTTCTACTTCATTATTGTGAGATTTTCTTGGGAAGGGAACATTGGAATGTGATTCCCTTTTTTTTTAAATGAAGATTTTTGTGAAATTATATTGCATTACTATTTGCAATCAAACCTTGATCCTTGATTTTGAAATCATTTATCAACTTGGAGTGAAGAATCACAATATATTTTATATTATGTAAGTTCATTTTACAATTTTAAAATAGCACTTCTTCATCTTAATGCCTGTTTGAGAAGATGTTAATTTTTCACATTGTCAACAGTGAAATGTCGTGTTGGTTTGTGAGGTTACTGACCATTTGTTTTTATGTGGATAATTTTAGTGCATTGCTCACCCAGTATATTTTTTTAAACTTGAACATTTTGCTGTTTTTGTTTTTGTTTTTGTTTGTTTCCAGTTAGGTAATCACATGGAAAATACAGCTATCCACATCTTTCCATTAGGATTGTAAACCAAGGGAAGAACAAGTTTGAGATTTCTAAGATGCCACTTTCGAGGGAGGAAATGTTTTATAAAAATGAACCTGAAAATTTTAACTTTTTTTCTTTGCAAGGATGTCTTTGTAATGTATTTCATAATTAGAATATCCAATATAGATAAGCTGACTTGAATGGTTTTGAGCAGTTTTACCCTGTGTTATGTGTGTTTTATGCACATATTTGCAGTTGGATTTTCTCCAACAGAAAGTGGTTTCACTACTGGCACATTAACAAGCACCAATAGTTTTTTATTCCAACTCCAAGCACTGTGGTTGAGTAACATCACCTCAATTTTTTATTATCCTTAAAGATAATTACATTTTCATATTCTTTATTTATAAAGGATCAATGCTGCTGTAAATACAGGTATTTTTAATTTTTTTATTTCATTCCACCACCATCAGATGCAGTTCCCTATTTTGTTTAATGAAGGGATAAATAAGCTTTCTAATGGTGTCTTCAGAAATTTATAAAATGTAAATACTGATTTGATTGGTCTTTAAGATGTGTTAAACTGTGAGGCTATTTAACTAATAGTGTGGATGTGATTTGTCATCCAGTATTAAGTTCTTAGTCATTGATTTTTGTGTTGAAAAAATAGGAAAGAGGGAAACTGCAGCTTTCATTACAGACTCCTTGTTGATAAGCTCTCCAAATCATGAGTTAACAATAAACTCTGATCATGCCTCTGGATAGTGGATCTCGAGCATTTATCTCGGGCTTTAATTTGCTAAAGCTGTGCACATATGTAAAAAAAAATAGATTATTTTAGGGGAGATGTAGGTGTAGAATTATTGCTTATGTCATTTCTTAAGCAGTTATGCTCTTAATGCTTAAAAGAAGGCTAGCATTGTTTGCACAAAAAGTTGGTGATTCCCTCCCCCAAATAGTAATAAAATTACTTCTGTTGAGTAAACTTTTTATGTCATCTTATAATAAAAGCTGAAAAAAATCCCTTTGTTTCTATTTATAAAAAAATGCTTTTCTATATGTACCCTTGATAAGAGATTTTGAAGAATCATGTAAGATGATAAAGCATTTGAATGGTACAGTAGATGTAAAAAAAAATTGACTGCATTGGGGAATGGGTGGGGACTTGAGAATATGGGTAAATGTAGTAACCACATTGTTTTTTCATGTGAAACCCTCATAAGAATGTATATCAATCATACCTTAATAAAAAAATCTTTTAAAAAGATAAAGGGAAAAAAATCTGCAGGCAAACCTACGCAGTCTTGTTGGACTCACAGTTTTCAGTAACTGAGCAGCCATTCTCTATTTGGTTATCTCAAATTTCATTCATTGTATATGCGCTGTACTTGCCTTCCACCAACACAGCCACACTGTACCACATTTATTGTGACATCTTTTTCTTTATTAATTTGGGTTTTTATATTTTTAATTTGTTTCAGTTTAAGAAATATAAGAAGTACAGCATTATGGTTTGATCTACATATATTGTAAAATGATTATCACAATACGTTCAGCTAGCATCCATCTTCCCATATAGACTTTTTCCTTTATTTTTTATTGTATCTCCTTGTATTACATTGGATTTGCTCTCTTAGCAACTTTCCTAGATATGATACAGCAATGTTAGCTGTAGCCATTATGTTGTACGTCACATCTCTAGTATTTATCTTGTAAGTGGAAGTTTGTACCTTTTGACCACCTTCCTCCAAGTCTCCCTCTCTCAAGTCCTCACCTCTGGTTACAAGTGTGATCTCTTTTTCTGAGTTTTGTTTGTTTTTAGATTCCACATAAAAGTGAGGTCATACAGTATTTGTCTTTCTCTAACTTAATTTCACTTAGCATAATGTCTTCAGCTTTCATCAGTGTTGTCACAAATGTGACATCTTCACTTTCTCAAAACATCACCATGTAGAGAGAGACTGCATCTGAAATTAGAGTATGTCAAGATTAAGGGAAAGAAAAAGGGGATAGTTAACAAATATGTAGGGAGTTAATGAAAGTCGTACTGCTAAAAGGAAATAGTTTATACTTTTAATACTGCCATATGTAATTTCATTAGGAAAAACGTGACAGCTATTTAAGAGCTGGTTAAATTTGATCTCTAAATTTCTAAAATGACAAGCTCATTCAGGTGATTGAATCTCAGATTCACTATCATTTTACTACTTGCAAATTATCACTTACTGGATGGATTTGGATATAGTCTTGCCATTTTGTAATGGTTATCACTCTTGCCTGTGACAGAAGTGCTTTATAGTACTATTGATGTTTCATGTTGTTTTTATCAACCAGGTTTATTGCTGACAATCAAATGAATCATGCCTGTATGCTGTTTGTAGAAAACTATGGACAGAAAATAATTAAGAAGAATTTGTGTCGAAACTTCATGCTTCATCTAGTCAGCATGCATGACTTTAATCTTATTAGCATAATGTCAATAGATAAAGCTGTTACCAAGCTCCGTGAAATGCAGCAAAAGTTAGAAAAAGGAGAATCTGCTTCCCCTGCAAATGAAGAAATCACTGAAGAACAAAATGGGACAGCAAATGGATTTAGTGAAATTAACTCAAAAGAGAAAGCTTTGGAAACAGATGGTGTCTCAGGGGTTTCAAAACAGAGCAAAAAACAAAAACTCTGAAAAGGCTTAACCCCATATTTTGGACAAACACTGAAATTGCATTCTACGGAATTCAGCCTCTAGGAAGAGTTTTGTTTTCATTTTTAATCATAGGTTCCAAACAGGCACTGTTAGATGAAGTAAATGATTTCAACAAGGATATTTGTATCAGGGTTCTACTTCACTTCATTATGCAGCATTATATGTATATCAGTTTTATTGATGTCATTAAAATATTCTCCAGTTTGAGCATGAAAAGCAATACTTCAAAGAAAGTATTTTTAACTTCAACAGTTGTCTTATGAAATATATTGATAATCTAGAAATTAAATTTCATATATTTAAATTACAATGTTTTTTGCATTTGTGACTGGCTGTTTCTACTTCATTATTGTGAGATTTTCTTGGGAAGGGAACATTGGAATGTGATTCCCTTTTTTTTTAAATGAAGATTTTTGTGAAATTATATTGCATTACTATTTGCAATCAAACCTTGATCCTTGATTTTGAAATCATTTATCAACTTGGAGTGAAGAATCACAATATATTTTATATTATGTAAGTTCATTTTACAATTTTAAAATAGCACTTCTTCATCTTAATGCCTGTTTGAGAAGATGTTAATTTTTCACATTGTCAACAGTGAAATGTCGTGTTGGTTTGTGAGGTTACTGACCATTTGTTTTTATGTGGATAATTTTAGTGCATTGCTCACCCAGTATATTTTTTTAAACTTGAACATTTTGCTGTTTTTGTTTTTGTTTTTGTTTGTTTCCAGTTAGGTAATCACATGGAAAATACAGCTATCCACATCTTTCCATTAGGATTGTAAACCAAGGGAAGAACAAGTTTGAGATTTCTAAGATGCCACTTTCGAGGGAGGAAATGTTTTATAAAAATGAACCTGAAAATTTTAACTTTTTTTCTTTGCAAGGATGTCTTTGTAATGTATTTCATAATTAGAATATCCAATATAGATAAGCTGACTTGAATGGTTTTGAGCAGTTTTACCCTGTGTTATGTGTGTTTTATGCACATATTTGCAGTTGGATTTTCTCCAACAGAAAGTGGTTTCACTACTGGCACATTAACAAGCACCAATAGTTTTTTATTCCAACTCCAAGCACTGTGGTTGAGTAACATCACCTCAATTTTTTATTATCCTTAAAGATAATTACATTTTCATATTCTTTATTTATAAAGGATCAATGCTGCTGTAAATACAGGTATTTTTAATTTTTTTATTTCATTCCACCACCATCAGATGCAGTTCCCTATTTTGTTTAATGAAGGGATAAATAAGCTTTCTAATGGTGTCTTCAGAAATTTATAAAATGTAAATACTGATTTGATTGGTCTTTAAGATGTGTTAAACTGTGAGGCTATTTAACTAATAGTGTGGATGTGATTTGTCATCCAGTATTAAGTTCTTAGTCATTGATTTTTGTGTTGAAAAAATAGGAAAGAGGGAAACTGCAGCTTTCATTACAGACTCCTTGTTGATAAGCTCTCCAAATCATGAGTTAACAATAAACTCTGATCATGCCTCTGGATAGTGGATCTCGAGCATT